AATTCCCATTGGGAACCTACTAGCACTAAGTTGCTAACTGTTTAGCAACATGCTTCCAAGACACCGGCCACAACCAAACTGCTTGCAAACCTTCCGCCACAACAGTCCCGCCCCCTTGATAATTGACCAATGGCATTCACTTTTTTCACTCTTGTAAAGTCGGGCACCACTCGGGAGAATTTGGAAATGCAACCATTGGATCAGCCGCTTCCCTACGACTTTAAGGCAGTTTTCCTCCACATGTTGGTTGATAAGCTGGAACGTTGTATGACAGATACACCTGTTCTTGGGTTTCTATGGTTACAAACAGGTGGTTTGTAACAAGTGGTGCTGTAGTTTCTGTGAAGGAGGTGGAGAGCTCTCTGCCACACCCTTTATGCTTCTCATGTTGCATTTTTTTTTTTTTTTACATTTGTTTGTAGTACACATCACTCCCTCCTCTGCTCATTCTTTCCCTCCTCTGCTCAATCTTCTGCTCAAAGGGGCCAGCTGTTTGTCTTTTCCATGTAACTTATAAAGGGTTAAAAGAGGTTCTGGATGAAGGACAAACAGTTTCAAAGTAATGAAAACAGGTTTTCGTTGAGCTCAAAACTGACTTGCAGCTTTCCTTCATATCTGCACATTAAAGTGAATGAAACAAGTCTTCTGACCTGAACCAGCATAGGCTGATATTATTTATTTATTTATTTGGGATTTCTAGTCAGCTGTGAATCATTTGTATAAAAATTATAAGTCATCTTGGCATGTAAGACTGTGTAAAGTTTTACTTTCTCTGAAGCCTGTTTAATTTTGTTCAAGACTGAATCAGTCAGGTAATTTCCACTGATGTACTGTTAAAGCTGCTTGTTCAAAGATTCTATTGATCTCATTCTGATAAAAAATAAACTGTTTTTCTTCTGTTTTCAGATGTCAGAGCTTTTGATTCCATTTTTTTTTTCTATCAAAATAGGTAATGTAAGTTTAATAATGTAACCGTGCTTTTGATTTAACAGCTAAATGAAACTAACATTGAACATTAGGTGTTCCAGGTTGGTAATCCAATCCACATTATTTATATAGATACAACAAAGACGCACAAAAAGCAGCATGAATAGATAGATAAAAGGACAAAGAGGATACACAATTATGTAGTGTTAAAAGCCAAAGAGTAAAAGTGGGTCTTAACACGAGACTTAAAACAGTCCACTGTGGAGGCTGTTCGTATATGATGGGGCAACTACAGGAACGGCTCTGTCCCCTCTGCTTTCAAGCCTCATCGGAGGCACTATTAACTGAAGATGGTCCTCAGACACTCAGAGTACGTCCTGGAGAGTGAATCTGGAGGTTTTTAATGTATTGAGGAACCATCCCATAAGCTCTAAAAGCTCTGAACACAAACAAAATCTTAAAATCAATTCTAAAAAAAACAAAAAACAGGTAGTTTTAAAAACCAACACAAAATGGATCACAATTATTAACAGTTATGCACCAATGCATCTAATTTCTAATCAACCCAAACTAAGCTTTGTAGAACAAAAATATTGGGAGGTGAGTGGTTGCACTTTTTATAGAGGATATAGTCTCCTATGCAGCTGTTCTGGCTTTGATTCTTGACCTCAGGCCATTTAAAGCTTGTCATCTGCCTCTCTCTCCCTCCCTGCCAAGCTGCTAATAAATAAAGGCTAAAAAAGGGGGAACCAAAAAAGACCCCTGACAAAAAAATCTAAAAATAAATGAATAAGGATAGATGGTGATGGAGTGCTGCATCACATAATGTAATGTATTTATCAATTATTACAGCCTAGACCGATTTCTAGATACAGAAACGGACCAAATGCCTGATCCCACCTCGCTGCTTCATGTCATTACTAGAGGATGAGGGTGAACAAAATCCAAACCCTCTACTGTGTTTTTGTTATATTTAGTCTATAACTTACCTCCATGCCATTGTTTAGAAATAACCATTCTGTGTAGCTTTTTGGGTGGATTTTGATCTGGGATCTGAATCAGTTAAAGGAAAGCTTTGACTGCAGCTGCTTGTTTATTCTGTGACAGTCACAGTGCACCACATGGTTCCCATTGAAAGGATGCTCTGTTTTTTTCTGCTGATCCCCCTAGCCAATGTCTTATATGAAAATCTATCAACATTTTCTTTTTTAAATTTGACATCCTAA